TTCAACATACTGCTGCCTCTGAGTCTGATTTTGTTACAGTTTAAAATTAAAATATCAACTGTCTTCAGTACAATATTACTGCCTGTCATGAAATAGCATTTCATTTGAACTTTAGTTACTTGCTATTATTATCAAATTTATCATCATCTCCATATGTGTAAACATGTGTAGTATATTGTGATAGCACACACCTTCTTGCTGTCTTAAAACATTCTCCACTTTTAGATTACATAATAGAATTGTATAGAATTGCACCTTATTTAACTCCTAATCTGGTGAACTGATAAGATTTGTTTTGTTCAGTTGGCTCCAGGATGTTAATGGTAAATACAAAGAGGATGTCTTGATGGCTCAGCTCAGCTATGTAACATTTTATAGACTTCAGGGTAAATGACCTGAAGTGCAGTCTGTCTAGGGTCATGTGACACCCTCCCCACCTCACCCACCTCACCCACATCACACAAACATGCACACACACACACACACACACACACACACACACACACACACATGCGCACGCACGCACACACACACACACACACAGCACTATTGGGTTTGTAAGGACTTTATTTTGACTTACATTCCTTAAACATAGTCAACTTGCCTTACTTTAACCTAAACATTCATTTAAACCTTTTTTATCACATATTTTAACTTAATTTATATTGCTAATATAATAAGAAGGTTTTGGGAGACCGTTCTTTTTGTTCCCATAGTGGTCCTCATGATGTATGTGTGTGTGTGTGTGTGTGTGTATATATACACTCATTCATCATTGTCGAACCGCATGGATGCAGTCCTTCAAGCTCATGGAAGTCATACAAGATATTAAATATGGATCTCACAGCACCACTACTTAATTCACTGATGTTATGCAACATATTTTTGTATTTGAAGTAAATTATTTGTTCAATTTTCTGTAGGCGACAAAACTTTTGTCTTGTCAAAATCTGACCTTTCTGTGTTCATTAAATGATCAATCTTTCTTCAGTGAAGCAAATTTATTTTAGTATATTGAGCATAATTTGGGAGGTTTTAGCTTTCATATGAGACATTTCTAAAACCAATCGATTAATTTAAAGTCAGGTTATAAGCTTCTGTTTCTACAAAATGGATAAGCGACAAGACTTTTGTGTCTGAGACTGTGTATATAAAAAAAAAAAAAAAAAAAGTGTTTCTCACCTTCCACGGTGGTAGGTCTGCGCAGTATCTTTGCTGTTCCCAGTACATATATATACATATATATATATATATATATATATATATATATATATATATATAATATATACACACACACACACACACACACACACATATATATATATATATATATATATATATATATATATATATATATATATATATATATATACTGGGAACAGCAAAGATACTGCGCAGAACTCTCAAGCTCCCAGGCCTCTGGTAGAGGACCCGAGCTCAATGAGGGTGAGAGAGACCTACCACCGTGGAAGGTGAGAAACACATTTAATATATATATATATATATATACACATACACAAATTTTAGTCCCCACAGTGTAATAAATACCCATCCGCACGCACCCAATGATACACAATGGGGCAGTGTGTTATGTAATGTCATGTCAGGAGCGACAACTGTGGTGGTGGGGGCGTGTATCTGTACTGTGACACCTCTGTGTGACATTCTGCACTGGCCTACACTCCTACAGACTTAATTGAGTGGCTTTAAATCTTAAATAGGGATGGACAATAATAGGAAGAAGTGATTGTAGCTGTGATAGCGTGGTATGTCTTTGGTAGAGAATTTCATAGATTTAAATTGAGAGAATCAAGTTTTGGATCCACTAAATTAGAGCTGTGTATCTAATCAAACTTTAATAGTGATTGTCAATGATCAGCTTGGCTTTTTTTTCAACAGCAAATCATCTGTCATGGTAAACACATTGGAGCAGAATTCAGATTTTGGAGAAAGAATTTAACCATTTTTGTATTGAATGACAATTATTAAAAGTCTTTATTGGTTATGTTCAGGAAACAAAATAAAAACGAAACAGGATCGAACAATGTGAGAAAAAAAAAGAATTGTGGTTATTCTTGTCATATTTTCATATTCATATTGCCCAGTAGAAAGTAGCCTAGGTGTTTCTGCACTCAGGCTCATCTCACCTTGCTTATAAATCTGTAAAGTAAATTCTGACTTGTTTCTGATATTGTACAGTCTGACCTACCACAATTGAGTCAACATAACTATCAAGGAACAACAAAAGAAACATGTTTTAATATCACCAGAGGAGGTGGCTTTATTACAGTATTTTTTCTCATCACTGTCACTGGTTTATCCCCAACAGTCTCTGTAATGAAAAGCAGAGGACAGATTGAGCTGAAGAACAGGCCAGTGGGGAGTTGTGGAGATGACAGCAGCTCCTGTAAAGAACTAGAGGTAAAACCTATTGGAAGACAGACAATAGACAGACGATGAAAACATGGAGAAATAAAAACACTATGGGTGGTGTTTGGTCCAAGTCTGTGCAGCTGTTACAGACAAAGACATACATGAAGCTGTCCAATGCACCTCCGATTATAGATTTTGCATGCACTTTTCCAGACCACTCTTGTTCAAATCTCCATGCAGATAAAGCCTGATTCACACCTTACAGCATTAGGATTCATTCGCTCAACGTTAGGCAGGTTTTTTTTATTTTATTTAACCCATCGCTGCTATTTGGTCATGATGTATGTAGTGCGCCGCTATCAGAGCTAATTGGTATATTAAGCTTTTCCCAAATCCCGTAGGAAAAGGGGCAATAACGTTTTTCCCCTTGATAAAATTCACCAAACATTCCCTTTGTTCTGGCTTTAAATCCTCGTTCTCTACTTCGTCTACATCCATCTCGGCCAATTTGTTTACTGTTGTGCTGTACCACAAAAAGGGACACAGTCATGGATTCACTTGAGCTTCTTCGCTGATTGACCGTTGGGTGGTCTACAACTTCCGGGGTTCTTGCAAACTGTCTAGTGTATTTCAATTCCTGACCTAGTCACTGGAGAGAAATGAAATTGAGGCACTAGGTGGCGCCAGCCTGGCTAGCAGGTATGGGCTCGTAGACTAGTATATGCTCATGAACTACGATGGAACCTGGGCACAGAAAGGAAAAGCACTATGATTTAATGTTGAAAATTACATTCTATTGCCTAAAGAAAGAATATTTTTATTATCATTTTTTATTAGCATTAGAATCGGTATTGAGCCTATTCTTTAGTATTGAAATTTTGTTTGAAATTTGAGAAAAAGCTAACTGTTTCTCACATGGCTACAAACAAAGCAAGGATTTATTTGTCATTTTAAATATCTAATTTAAACAATGAAAGACAAGCCAGTTAGAAATCAAGCATAATTTGTCTCTTTAACACGTGTCCAATATTTTTTTTGGTGTTTATTGCATAGTAAGAGTATGCATATCCAGTAGTTATACTCATATATTATGTGAAATTTGAATAATAACCCCCAGACAGTATTTCTAGGTTGCACTCTACAATCCCTGTGTTTTCTCTTTGTGCATGCAAACATATTGGTTGATATATTGAAAACAGTTTTAATTTATCTATCACAGCTTGATTTAAATGATGATACAAAGGTGTAAAAGTACACCACAAACAAAGTTTCCATGAACCAGTGTACCAGCTCAGCGGAATCCACAAGTAGCAGTGGCTTTGTGTATCTGTGTATGTCCAAATAGACCAAGCCCTGTCCAGAGAGCACTGCAGGCTGATCTTCTGACCCCACAGTCACACCACAGAGGAACAGGGAGCAGCCTCTGACATGTCCATTTACATCACTGTGAGAAAGATCACCAACCAGGACCTCAGGCAACCCCCACTGCTCCAGAACCACTCCAACTGTCTCAAGAGCTGGGCTGGGTTCACTAATGCCTGGTGTGTCTGTGGGATCCAGTTATAGTCTTAGTTAGTTTAATGTTTAAAGTAATTTTCCAGAATAAATTCTGAAATTATATTAACATTTTCATCACTGGTTTAACCCAATTTGCCCAATTTTATGATCACTTTAGGATGCATTCACACTTAATTTTGGTCCTAAATTGGGCCAATTTTAATCCTGATGTAGACTTGGTCTGGTCCTGGTTTAGTTCAAATTTTCATGTGGAGAATGCACAAGTGTGAACACACCCTAATTTACTACATTTAGTTAGTCTTTTTTTATGCAAGAGATGTTTACGTACAGGTGAGTTATTTAGATCACAATTAAAACATAACAGCTTATTTATTGTGAAACAACATTGCACACAGAAGAGTAAACATGACTGAAAGGAGGGTTTATTTTCACCCTTTTGTTAATGAGTATTGTGCGATGTTTTCAATCAGCTCCTATAAAGGCTTATAAGTGTCATAACCCG